CCATGTTTTTGTTTTAATTTATTTTGAAATAATTGTAAAAATGTATGAGTTGTAGGAACACTATAAAGCACTCCTTCATACACACACACAGAAACACTTAGTTTTTTCTAAATCACCTGAGAGCACATTGCAAATGCAATGGCCCTTCACCTCTTATTTTATTCTAGCTTTACTAGGTGTACTTGAATAGAGTGCACAGTGTGATGATTTGATATACATATGCATTGTGCAGCACTATTATTTGCATGACATTTCACACTTGCTTCATTCAACTGATTTTGGTTTCCTATTCGTGACACTCGCCCATTTTTTGGAGGAGCTCAATGGTGAAACTAAACAGAAGAAGCAGAACCAGGCCAGAAAACTAGAGTAACTGTCCTTCATACACCTGAAGAGTGCTATAACTCTAAATACGAGGGCAAATGTCACACTATATACCTGCTATAATGAAGAACATTTCTCTCTGGCCCCCTTCCTCTCTGTAAGCATGCCCTTGGGTGAGGATTAAAACAAAAAAGGAAAATGCAATAGAGGTGAGTGTTTGACACTATCCTGCCCTTGTGAATTGCCCAGAATTCTTTGGAAGACCAGCATAAGAAAGAAAGCTGTCCTACCTGGAAAGGTGAAGCAAATCAAATAAAAAATACATAAACTCCAGTTTTTGAGGTCTATGTAGTATCCTGTTTTCCCTTCACTGGCACTAGACAGACATGATTAAATGCCTCAGCTCTAAGTGGGTAAAGCTACAAATACTTGCAAAATCTGTCCAGAATCTGTACAAATTTCCTCTAATAATTTGGACAAACCACTCAAGTGGTCAAACTTCAGTACACCAGTAATATGTCAAATATAAAAGAATAAAATCAATACATTATTTTTAATACACATAGATGTGTAGTAGAATCTGTTAGTTAAAAATATCTCTGTACTTGAAATTCATCTTCTCTTTGAAAAAAAAAAAAAGGCAGAAATGAGATTGAAAATAGTCATCCTTAATTATTTTTTTACCAGAATGTTGTCTTTTATCTAAATTTAAACATTTTTTAGGGACACTCGACATTTTTTAAAATACCCTCATTAGCCGAAACCGGTTTGGCTCAGTGGATAGAGCGTCGGCCTGCGGACTGGAGGGTCCCAGGTTCGATTCCGGCCAGGGGCATGTACCTGGGTTGCGGGCACATCCCCAGTAGGAGATGTGCAGGAGGCAGCTGATTGCTGTCTCTCTCATCGATGTTTCTAGCTCTCTATCCCTCTCCCTTCCTCTCTGTAAAAAATCAATAAAATATATTTAAAAAAATAAAAAATAAATAAAATACCCTCATTATTAAAAATTTTACAAAAACTTAGAAAAGAGTAAAAATCTTTTTTCTTACACACTTTATGCCATAAGAGGCATGATTAAAATGACGAGTTTCCAAATAACATGAATAATGCATTTCTCCTTTATCCAAAGCAAATGTACTTTGCTCCTAAGGGATGTTTAATCCATTCTCTTTTTTGAGAAGAGCAAAGGAGGGTGATGAGGAATTTATACTTAGAATTATCATTCAATGTAGGCACATATTTGACTTGTGATTATAAAATAATTGTTGTAGTAATTTTGAGTTTAAACAAGGATAGTGAATGTTGATATGAATGAAAAGCAAATTATATTTCTGTTAGTATTCAAGGCTACCTTTCTGGGACAGAATTATGAAATGGTACTGTTTATTATGTTATGGAAAATGTGGAGCCCATGTTAAGAAATCTTATGTATTCACATGTGAATAAATATTTACTCCAGGAGTAGCAGGTCTACATTTGTAGGTCTACATAAGTTTCAAAGAACAGCCTAAGCTTTCATAAAACTTGGACAGAGAAGCTTAAAATCCTTCCACTACCCTCCACTTCCCCACCCCCTTCCACCAGAAAAAGTGGTCAGTGGTCAAATCCAATCACCATCCTTGGATCACTGGGAGTGGAGCTGTGGGAAGATGTGAGGAAAAGTCATAGACCCTTTGAGGTTTCAGCTCCTTGTGTTTGCTTACTCCCCAGGCACAGGGGAGGGTAACAGCGGCGGCGCTGCCTCTGTACTGAGGTGCCTCTGCACTGGGGAGATTTGGGGGCTGATAGGTGAGCTGAGCTCTCCTTTCTGCCTTCTTTCACTTCTTTGGTGCACTTTTCTCTAGACACATTTTCCTTGCTCCCAGGGTAGTAATACTATCTTTGAGGGAAGTAAGATGGGACGTGAGCACAGGAGAGAGAATCAAAGGCTGTAAACGTGCATTTTGCTCTTACAGCCCCATGTGGTCCAACTTAGTTCATCGGAACACTCTGGGATTTTTCAGCTGAAGCTCCAGCAAGTAATAAAGACTGTGCTTTCCCTGGCCCTTCCATTTCTCTCTTGTGGACTTTGTAAGGGTAAAGGTGGACATGGTAGGTGACGGGTTAAGATCTCTTTGTTTTAAGTGACTTTTTGGTCAAAGGTCAGGGAAGACTTCCTTTTGTCAGAAAAAGAATAGTTTTTTATTGATTTATTTTATTTTATTTTTTTTTAGAGAAAGTGAAACATCAATCAGCTGCCTCCTGGGGATTGAGCCTGCAACCTGGGCATGTGCCCTGACATGGAATTGAACCGGCAACTTCTGAGCCACACTAACTGAGCCACACCAGCCAGGGCAAGAATAGGTCATTTTAAAATGACAGTAAGGTTTCGGAATTCCATGTGTCAGAAGTCAGTTAGGAAGCATCCAAGAAGTTCCTTGATTTTCTCAAGAGAATAGTAATGTAGTAATAGTAATAGCACCAGAGGGAAAGGGGAGTGGAGGTGGGTAGAAAAGGGTAAAGTGGCAATAAATGGGATGAAAGGAGACTTGACTTTGGGTGACGAACACACAATAGGATATACAGATGATGTATCATGGAATTGTACAACTGAAACCGATATAATTGTGTTAACCAATGTCACCCCAATAAATTCAATAAAAAAGAAAAAAATACATAGAGAAGATCTAGTAAAAATGTGACAAATCTGGGCCCACATTCACGTAGACTTGATACATTTCTTTTCTTTTTTTAAAAAAAGAAAAGCCAGAAATCTCTAGTTTTTAATATAATATCTCCCAAATTTTAAATATTGGCTATTCATTCAAAATTTCTAAAAAGATTACGTAGGCCAAACAAAAAGAGTAATAATCAGCTCCTAACCACTTTGTTTCCTTAGCCCTGTGGCTGGTGGGGCTTTTCTTGGACTGTTCTAAACAACTAAGAAGATTTTGAAGACCTTTGGCCCTTTGACCACTACCTTCTGAGAGGTAGGCAAAAGGTGTTTGTGCCTATTTAAAACCCCAGGAAAATAACCCATGAAGCCTACAAAACAGGCTCATGATGGCAGTGACTTTTAAACTGTTATAAGGAGGAACAAAAGGAAAAAGTACACAGTGAAGAATCACTTAAGTGTCATGAACCAAGGATTATGATGAATGACTTCTGTATATTCTCCCAACCATAACATATAATTTTTAAAACTACTCAGTGACTTTAAGGCAAAGCCTGGCCCTCAGACATGTGTTATAATTTAGTACACACCATTAGAGAACCCATGAAAGGAAAACATGATGACAGTCAGTGCTTTTGTTTTGTGTCATACTATGTGGTAAGGACAGTGGTAATTCTCTTCACTCTTCCCCACAGAGGAGTACGGAGTGCCAGCTACTGTAGAGAAGACAAGAAGGAATTGATGGGTAGCTAGCATTCTTGAACTTCAAACCTTGTACTTCCTTGACGCTGACAAGGAGAAAGCAGAGAACACAGCCCATAGCTAGCTGCAATAGTTTTTCTAAATGTGACCAGCACTAAGACGGATGTTTTCTAGGATGGAACCGAAGAAGTCTTAGGACTGCGGGATGCCATCTAATTACTGAATTCAAATTACTTTAGCATCTTTAAAGCACACAGGCAAGGATGCATCACATATTCACAACATGCCCCTTTATAAACCATGTACTTCCATAATGAACCTAAGCCTTCAGAATGAGAATAAACATGACTACATGTAGTTCTTATACGAATAAATAATAATCACGAACAGGGCTGCTCAGAACAAAACTCATCTTACTCTTTATTCAAATGAAAGATTCCCCTTTTCACTGACAGGCAAAACCACTCAATTTACTGTTGAGGACACTGCTTTGTTTCTCCTGAATTGCTAAATCTACTACATAAAATCCTGTAGTGAAGGTTTAGCTGTACTCAATTTCCTTGTGTTAAATATATAAAGACATTATTTTTCATAAATGTCTAATGCATTAGTGCTTTTAACCCGTCCTTTAAGTACAGTTGCCTCCATAGAGGTTTTCCATAAATTACCTAGTTCAGATGAAGTTTTAATAATATTTTGAATATCCTTCCACCTTTAACTTTAAGAAGATATGTTATTGTCAAAGTCAAAGCTTTAAAATATTGAAGTTCTGGAGTAAAGACATTTAAAGATAGCTCTCAAAATGTTTTTGTTGAAAAAACAGGTGTCACTTAAATATTATAAGAATCCTCATCACAGCTTCCTAAGGAAAGGAGATTCCAGAATTTTCCAGGAGTTGTCCAATGGAAGTAAGTCCAGGTTCAAAGAGCTAAGAAGAAAGGAATGATTTTTATTCAGCACATACACAATCGGCTACAGCGACTTTGAGCCTCTTTGTTCTGCTGGTTATCTCTCAGTAAAGAAATAGATGCTTCTGTGAAAGTCATCCCCTAAAAACAGAGGTGAGTGCAGGAAAATGAGCATGAGCTGATATAACTTCAGGTCATTTCACAGAGAATTTGCACACAAAGTGAATTCTCACAAGTTTGCAAGCTTTTCCAAAGTCTAGCTTTCATGAATATTGTGTGAACAAGTTGTATAGAATGCAGTCTATGCCCTATGGAACAGCATCATGTTTATTACGACGGTGGGATTATTTGGCATCACCAAATAGCAGGGTTCAAACGTCAAACAGCTGAAAAATCCAACAATCTGGTCTAACCTGGGATGCTCTGTCTCCTCACAGCCAATGCTCCATCAGGCGGCTTTGTCTGGCTGGCGGATTTAGTGTAGGGACTCTCATCTGCAAAGGTACAATGAAGGGTTTGGTTAATTTCCATCCAGTTTCTAATGCAGTGAAGACTCTTAGTGGATTGCAGTCCTTCTGCCAGAGAGAGGAGATATGGCATGGTACAGCACAAAGAATCGGTAGACCTCGGTCCTAACCTCGGCTTAGCTGTGGGGCCAATTATTTAAAATGCTCTGGACATGGGTTTCCTTTCCTCTAGAAGAGGGATATATTTCTCACCCACCTCTTAGGATTGTCAGGATTGAACCAGAGTGCACATGAAGGCATCAAATAGTAAGAAGTATGCAAATAGAGTATGCAAATTATTTGCCTGTCAGCTTCATTCATTGATAAATAAGTATCAGTGAATATCAGTAACAGGAAGACAAAGAGAGAATAAAACGGCTCGATGGGCACTAAGAATAACCAGGTAGAAGGACAAAGGAAATGAGAAGAAATGTTCTATTTCAGATAAGCAGATGACAGATCATTAGTATTGCAGGGAAATAAAGACACACAGAATTAGTGGGTTCTTCAGCGTGTGAAGTGGCAGCCAGAGCCAAAAGGAGGGAACAGGGGCATTCAGAGTGAGACCAGAGAAGGGAGGTTGCAAACAGGAAAAGAATGATGGTTTGGCAAAAGAACAGGTACACAGCAATGAGCTGATTGGCTTTCTTTTAGAAAGAGATGGAAATAATCTGAAGAACCATAAAAAAGCAACTGAAAAGACAGAAGCCCAGTATATCTGTGAGAGTTAGGCAAGAAGCTGAAGAGATGACAAGATCTTAAGAGGTGACGGATTCATCAGATTCTGAGTAAAATGATTTTGTTAAATCTAGAACAGAAGTTAATCTGGCTTAGAATATAGGAGTAATGAGCTAGGATGGCAAATATTAGGGTTAAAACAGAAAGGAAGATTTCTTCTTAGTTTGCATGCAGACATTTGTATAAAGTAGAAGAGATGTCTGAGTAAAGATCAGCATGTATATGGCCTGAGTAAACATAATTTAAAATACTTAGCGAGTAAATCTAGTCAAGCTAGATGATCCAAATATTACTTCTGGACACACCATAAGGTTGGTTTGTTGTAGTTATAATAGGAAATCGTTAACGGATTAAAAAGAACGATATTGTGCTTGGCAAACTACTAAATGTAACAAGGATTTAATTCAGCAACAAGGCTTTGTCATATGAAAACATTAATTCTCCCAACTAAGTGGTTTGTGTTTTAAAATTGAAGAACTTGATTTCTCTCTGGAACGTACTTCTGGTTGAAATGATTCATGATTTCTTCATAAAACTAACAAAGTCTTTATAAGGAATGACAAAAAAGGAACGATGAACACTGCTGTAAGCTGCAATTAACTTAAAAAATGAAGTCACACTGCTTCATGTTTATATTCCATTTGTCACACAATTCTTTATATTCTCCCAACCATAAACTACCAACTTTCAGACACCAATTCAATCAGCAGCATCCCTTTTGCTTATGAAGCAGTATCCCAGGTTTCTGACTGTTCATTTTGAAATGCAATGTTTAAAAAAATGTTTTTTTTTATTGTTGATAGTATTACAGATATCTCCCATTCCTCCCACCCCCTTTACTCCCCTTCTCCCAGATCTTCTCTACCCTATTGTCTGTGTCCATGGGCTATGCATCTCTAAAATAATAAAAGCATAATATGCTAATTAGACCAGATGTCCTTCCGGACGTCCTTCTGGACAAAGCTGGGGCTGCGAGTGAAGCCTGGGACCTGGGTGCCAGAGAAAAGCCAGTCCTGGCAGCCAGGGGAAGGGAGGCTTACTCTTGCATGAATTTCATGCATCGGGCCTCCAATAAGTATATAAGTTCTTTGGTTTATTTATTCTCATTCCCCCAACCCTACATTGAGGTATGTCAGTCTGTTCCATGCCTCCATGCTTCCAGTCTTATTTTGTTGGTCAATTCATTTTGTTCATTAGATCCCACAAATAAATGAGATCATGTGATATTTGTCTTTTCAGATTGGCTTATTTCACTTAGCATAATATTTTTTAAAAATTTGAATGTTTATTTTATTCTTTTTAAAAAAATATTATAATAAGTATTACAAAGGGTATTACATGTGTCCTTCCCCCACCCCCCGCCCTTGACAATCCCCTGCCCTCCCTTACCCCCCAGTGTCTTATGTCCATTAGTTATAGCATAATATTTTTGAGTATAATCACAAACCACGAAAGGTAAGCATCACAGTACAAAAGTCTCCATTTCCCCCACCGTTCCCACCTGAATATTTGAGTGTTTTTCTCACAGTGTTGATTTAATAACCAGGCAATGTGCTTTACATATATATATATAGCACCTACTAAAACAAATTTTCTATATGTTAAAATCTTAACTCTTAATAAAGCCAATTAAAAATACGTTTTCTTTTATTATCCAAAAACTTTGAAACAGTGTATTTATGGGTACAGCGCAATGAACCAGGGGATATAGATCGTAACAACCAGTTTTACCGCAGGCACAGCATCTCAGAAGCTTAAAGGTTTTCTTCAGTTTTCAACTTGTCAAAAGTCCAGCCAATTAAAATCTTGGTTGAATTCAGTGTTGGATATCTTAAAGGGAAGTAAGAGATTTGCACAGGAGACGCTGGATTTTTTTGCACTTGATACTCTATATTTTAAGGAGCCATTTCTTTAGAAGTTTACCCAGTTTGCATTCCAGAAGTAGTCAACCCTGTTAAAATTGGTTTCTTATTTATAGTGAATTTGAAAGTAGAGCTGAGATAGTTTAGTTATGCACATCCTTAAAAGGTTGAAACTGAATTATAGATGGCTACCTGACCAGCTTCTACATATGCATTCCCCAGCTCCCGCTCTCATTCTCAGGATTCAGTGTCCTTACTGAGATAGGCGGAAGTAGACAATTATCTAGAAGCCAAAAGTTGTACTGGTCAAAGGATCTGACTGAAATAAGTTCCATATTGTCTAAACGTAACTTGCCAAAGTCGATCTGGGTGAAAGCAGTAATAATTCCTAATGGAAGTGAGGAGAATCTTGGCAACATTTATCGTGAGAGTAAAAGGAGAGCATAGCAACAGAGCACCATTTAGCATTTATTTTTAGAGAAAAATTTTCTAAGAACATATCTTTATTTTAAATCACCAAAAGACATTATGGACTTTCATAAACAAAGCAAACCATCACAGAATGAACACATCAGCTCCTATGATGTAATTTACTCAACATCAACTCTTGATTCAAACATTGACAATAGTAATGGATGGAAGACACTGAATGTTTCAGTCGCAGATGGCCCCATAATAGGATACTAAAGCACAAGAATGTCTGGGGTATAGTTTTAATCCGCCAAGTCATGGAGAGCTATGGAATCTACTGTCAGGGTTTTTCATGCGGCCCCTAGTGGAGATGTATAGATATAATCACTAGAATTTCATGATATAAGGGATGATCTAGACCACTCTTTCACTTTATAGTTGAACTTGAGGCCCAGAGTGATACATTTATAGAAGGACATATCTAGAGTGCTCCTAGAATGCATTTCTTTTATTTTTGTTCCCATGCTATTTCCTCTTGGGTAGACAATGAGATTTGATAGTTGATCAGGTGCACATTTCTGTATCACACAGGTAAGTGAATAGACACAACCCTCCAGCAGAGACCTTGCATGATGTAAATTAATCCTTATGGAGAAGCCTATGTGTGAATATGTATACATGTGTGTATATAAACTTCATTTCCCTCTCCTCCAAATATTTGTTTGTCTAAAGTGAAGTACATAGAAATTGTTCTACAAAACCAATTTATACTTTTCATTTCATTTGTTTTTGCAGACAACATTTTTAAATAAATTCTAATACAATTCATTGTTCCTTAGTAAGGGCCTCAAAGGTTCAGTGAATTATAAAATCTGTGTTAATACTTCTCCTTTATCAGGGAGACACTAACTAGACTTTCAGGTTCCATGCAAATTACATGAATTAAAATATTAGCCAAATAACAAAGAAAGGAATCAATTAGTAGATAAGATCTCTAAAACAGTACCCGACCCATAGTATGCATCCATCAAATGTGTGGTGATAGATGAATGAATTGTATTCAACTTTTCAAACTAAAGCATTTATTATAAACTAGAGGCCGGTGCACAAAATTTGTGCACGGATAGAGACCCTAGACCTGGCCGGGGATGAGGGCCGATCTGTGGGGCGATCGCGGGGGACGGGGGGGGCCCTGCTGGCATCCGCCTTGGCCGGCCCTGCCCCCTGCTGCTGCTGATCACCTCCCTCTGCCGGGCAACAGGTGGGGAGATCTGGGGGCCCCTGCTGGCACCTTCCTTGGCTGAACTGGGGCCTGCAGACTAGGGGCAGCTCCTGCGATGAGCGTCTGCCCCCTGGTGGTCAGTGTGCATCATAGCGACCGGTCGTTCCATGGTTGTTTGCTGTTCGGTCGATTTGCATATTAGGCTTTTATTATATAGGATAAGCAATCTGAAGGAAATCAAATATTTGCTATGAGCTTTCCTCCCTCTAATTTCCCCCCTAGTTTCATAGCCTATTCCATTAAAAGTCACAGCATCACCCAATAGCTATTGAGTACTGACCTATGGCATGTTAATAATCTGTGACTCTTTATAAAATGGATATTAAAATATTTCCTTTAATTTTCATTTAGACTACAGAAGGATTTATTGAACAATCTTTAAAATAATGCCTTTAAGCAAAATAATTCTGATTTCCATACCAGACTCCCAGCCTTGACTTTGATGGTGGATCATATTAACAGGGATCCTTATTGACATTCACTATAAGAGCAAAGCAGACATGCAGCTGGCGAGCTAGTGCTCAATGAAGTGAATGTTGCAAGTAATCATTGCGTGCATCTCAGGGACTCAGAACTGGCAGCCTTTTCTAATGACATCTTAGCAGATAGATAATCACTGTCACACATGATGGCCACCCCCTGTCCAAAGGGCTGCATATTGGTCACAACAAGGAAGAGCATGGGTCCCCTTTACA